ATATATACACAAACACATCAACAATTGGAAACAGTGACAGAAGTAAACAATTAGAAAGTTAATTAGATCACTGTTGGTTTTTATGTTACATTAATACGGTAAAGTAATACATTTGTTATTAACAGGAGAAATATTTATTTGGTTAAGGAACGGAAGGAATCTATTGTAGGTGTGCTACAAACTTTGGAAGCTATAACTGTGATTGTTATAATGCTTATCAACTGGAAAACTTCAGATATTTGACCAGGAGCATTTACAAAGTTCGAACATTACAACTCATTTAACTTCAGTGGATTTTCATCGGACATCAGTTTTTGTTTGTTTGTTTGTAATTAAGCACAAAGATACACAATGGGCTATCTCTGCTCTGCCAACCACGGGTATTGAAATCCGGTTTCTAGTATTGTAAGTATGCAGACATACTGCTGTGCCACTGCGGGGCTATTTTTACGAAAACATTACATAACGTCACGGTGGAAAACCCGGTGTGTGTATATGATAAATAACGAAGGGCAAAGCTAGCTAGCTTCCTGTTAAGTGAATTATACCTACGTAAACTCGCTCATCCTGAACCCACGATAAGATATCAAGGAAGTTCCAGACAAGAAAGAAAACTTTATATTGTTTGTAAGTTTATGAAACTTTTGTTTATAAATCATTGTTTGTAATAACTGTTATTGTAAATTGTATTGTTGTGTGTATATTAAATCGTATTTGTGTTTAACAACTGTGTATCGATCTTGTTGGCAAATATCATAAAATGAATATATATATCGGCATATACTTAAATACGAAATCCAAAGTACAATTTAACTACTAAATTTAAATTATCAATTAACTTAATTTCAGACCATTTGAAATTCTAATAACTAACAAAATCGACAACGAGTTTATCGATTCAACAAGAAAATAATAAGCTATATTCAGATTTATTCATGATATTATCATGTCAAAGCAATCACAAAATAAATTCATACAAAATTAAAAATTTTAAATTTAAGAAGAATGATAAAGCAGGGCCCACAGTACCACAAAGCCAGACTCATATGTTATTGGAGAGAAAGAACCAAAAACAAGAAATATTAATCAATAATCTACTAAAAGGATAAAAATAGTAAGATAATATCATTATATTTCATGTGCACTTGTCTGTCACAAATTCGTATAAATTTTATGATAAAACTGTGATTATCTTTTTATTACTTTTGTACTTTTTTAGATGTTATGATAAATTATGGATTTTTTAATATTGTGTAATAACTACACTTCTAAAAGACTATGTACTTATCTGTTTGTTTGAAGGTAAGGACGAAGCTACACAGTGGGCCCATCTCGGGTATTGAAACCCGGATACTAGCGTTGTAAATACCTTGACATGCCGATGTGCTACTGGGGTTGGTGGGGGGGGGGGCATGTATTTATTTAGTTGTCAAACGAATATATAATCTACATACAAAGATTACGACGGACTAACAAAGTCTCATGCCACAAACAGGCGTCAAACTTCAAAGAAAGTTCCTCAAACCAAAAGGCCACTAACTTCTGATTTGTAGAAACGTGTTTTGAAAGTTTACACATATATATTTCCTAAATACCTTAACCTTGATTATGCCCATACAAAATACTGCTACAAGTAAATGCGACATAAAATTAGTTGTCGTCATAAGCAACATAAAATATGTTAAACCTCTCTTTCCTGAAATTTAGTAAAATGGTGCCGAGGTTGTATATTTTTTTTTAGATTTTTATTTCCACTTATAATTTCTTTATTTAACTCAGCTGCCTAATTTCATCTTTAAATTACTTTTGCCATTATTGAACTCTGAACACAAAATCATTGTGGTAGTTCAGTATCACCTTACCAGGGTGCAAACTCTATCCTTATTACTTATTATGACGTCACAAAAGTTGCAGGATGAAACAAATTTGCTAAATATTTCATGATTTAGCCTAATTGTGGTGTTAGATTATTTATACTATATTTTAATTCGTTTATTTTTAGTAAAGGAATATATCGAAATTTATAGCTTGGTTGTGTCATAAGTTCCTTTGTGTTCAAGATGGATTCAGAGGAAGAAATTATTTATGAGTGTGATTCTGGGAATGAGTCTAGTGGTGAAGAAGACGATGGTCTGTCAATCGGATTAGAGCCTCAACCAATGACTACTAAAGATAAAATGGAGATCGAAGAAGAATTTCCTTATGAAGTTTTGACAACCGAGCAGATTGTGCAGCATATGATAGACTGCATTAAAGAAGTTAATGTTGTGGTTCAGGTAAGGTTTTGTTACCAAATTGAAATTAGAATGAAGCTGTGTCTGTACAGGTGTACTTCCACTGTTCCAGGTTCTATTCTTTTTGCATACTGTTGGTTTATTATTTCCTCCCAAAACTTTAACTAACCTAAGATAAAGAATCAGTGTGACAGACGACTATTCACCCATCAGTCACCAAACTACCGAAACCAAATTGTTTTAAATATCTAACTCTTTAGTTATGGGTTTTATAATCATATATCTTACACAAGATAAATATTTCAAATATATTGTACCCTCCATGTTCTTAGTCAAAACATTAGATTCGGAGTACAGGTTTGTAAATCTAACTTTCTTTTTTTCTGTAGAATAACACTTGTATCTCTGCTCCCAAACTTTAAACATGCATTGCACATTATCATTTTATTCAAGTTTTTATTTTCACCCTTTTCTGTATTTGAACAGACAGATTTTTCAAACTTTGGACAATTTTGAACAAGTGACAAAAGACACTTTTGATAATTCTACACACTGGAGAAATATTCTTAGAATTTTGATCTTTAATAAGACCCTTGAGTATTGTTTTCATTATCTTTAAAGACTCAATAAGAGTAGGTGGATGATACTAGTAAAGTAGAGGGTTAACTCTATCGGTGTGAGGTGGAGTTCAGGCTGATTTAATTATCTCCATAGACAGGTGGGGGATACCCTCCTGAAATGTTTTAAAAATTAAGAGTATCAGAAACAGCCTTTCCTGATTTCTGGCCTCTTTTCAAACAGAAATGACAACATGAAATATATTAAATATACCAATTTATAATGTATAATTGATAGTGTTAAAAAATTCCTTTTACTAATTCTGATATGTTATAACATAAATAAAATTGGTGAAAGCTTACACTTAAACCACTTTTCTTCATAATAGTTGTTGGCAATAAGTTTGCTAATATAAGTAGTGTCTCAACCACTACTTTGTCTGTCATACCTCTGCCATCCTAAAAAGGTCTCATCAACACTGGATATAGCAGATATAATGGGATGAAATATTATTATATATTCTTCTTCACTTTCACTCAGAAGTTCTTATTAATATTTACATGTTTTAGTTATTTTTCCATTAGGAGTGTTTTTAAAATCCTTTGTATAAATACCATGACTTTGTTCCATCAGTCACTCTGACAGTGATAGTGCCTCTGAAGTAGACAAAACTAGTCAGTAAGTTTTAAAATATTTTTCTTTTGTGTGTGGTGTGTGTAAAATGTTTTTGTAAGAATATCTGGATATTATAAAGATTTTGCATTTGTGAAATTTAAAAAGTTTCTGATGCATAAAAGTATTTTTAATTTTAAAATGAAAATTTCTTTACATATTGGATAGGCAACATCTGAAAAAGAAAAAACAGGCATGAGAAAAACATTGCTTGACAAACCTTAAGACTTAATAAAAAATTGATATTTTGCATATGAAAGCATTGTAATTTTAACTGATAATCTGCCAAATTTCTTTAACATACCCTTACTAATCTAAAAGTTATACCATGAAAACTATAACAAGCACAAAATGGTTACAAGGTCGGTCCCAGGGACCGAGTCCATACTGAAAGAGTTAATTGATTACCTTTGCAACAGGAGCCCCTTTAAATGCTTTTCTGCACAAATAACCGCGTTACATTCAAAATTTAATTAAACACCGTTACTATCAGTGTACGTAAATGAAATTAATATTATAATGTATGCAGTGATTCAAAGTTTTATTTTATCCAAGTTGTAAGTCCTTTCAAAATAAACCTTTGAATAACTACTAAAAACTTCAGATGTATTGTCATGTGACCTATGAATATTCTCTTCTTTGACTCTCTGTATCTTCAATAATACAATTGTAGTTGAGTAGAGGTATGTTTAGACAACAAGATGCTTACATAACTTTTTGACTCTTTCATTTCCAAATTCTCTGAATGAATTAGGTTAAAATAAGTAATGAATTTATTTTAATCCATGACAGGGCCATGCCCATCTTCAACAGATTTGTTTGAACTCTTTAGCCTAAATGTAGTTGTTACATACCTACGTATGTACCTGATTGTTGGTTTATAGTGAGTGGTTTTGGATTAGAGCTGGGCCAATCAACATAAATCCTCACATGTGTTGTTGTGTTTCCTCTCCCTCACTCAGTTTGCCTCAGGTTCTCCATCTCTGTGAGGTGGGCCCTGGAGGTTTATGTTGCACCCAGCTTCTGTGCAGTGGGTGGCATTGTGCTCTAGCTTCTTTGCAGTCCGAACTGGAGGATGATGTTTATTGGGGTGACAATTCTTCCTCTTGTGCTCCACCTCAGGATGTTTTCATTGCCTACAGCTGATGTTGCACAGTGGGATGCCAGTCTGATTGAGTTTGATGTGATCTGCCACATTGGCACATCTCATCCTACCATCATTAAAATGTTAGGTTCCTGGATATGTGATTGGTTGTAGATTTGCACACATGTGTCCATTTTATAGATTAGCTTGCACAATATATGCTTCTGTTCTACTTAACTTGAGGTGAAGATGGTGTGGACCCTCCTCCTACCATGGGTTGGAGGTTCCATTTCCGATGCATTTTGGACTGGAATTGACCGACCACATACTGTGCATCATGCCCTAGCCACTCTATACCTTGGAGCACATCCATTTTAGCTTTCTCCACATTCCTGTCTGTAGATAGTTCTTCTATGGGATTGAGATTATGGTATACTGTGGTTTGAATTCCAACCCAATTGGTTTCTCTCTCTTTGCCCATGTATGTGACACCTATCTTCACACTGGATGCAGAGTATACTTGATACAGAAGTGGTGCAGTCTCCCATGTGTGTTCTCCAAACAAGGATCACACTTCATGAGCATTCTTCAGATACTTTTTTCTTTCCCTCGCACTGGTCCCGCCACAGATTCAATGTAGAATTCTATCTATATATGTAAGCAGAAGTAATATACCATATGAGAAGTTATTATTTTCCTATACTGAAAATACATTTCCCATAGGTACTTACCTCTTCACAGTATAGGAAAATAATAACTTCCAATACGGTACGTTACCTACTCTCATACTTTCCACCCTTCCTCTCCACCAAAAGTCCAGTTCTTGCTTTTTGCCTAATCTTGAAGTGTTAGTTTGGTAGGAACGAAAAGGAGGAGTCACATGCATCAGGAGGGTGTGTTGTACTCCTATTGGTGAAGGGTTGTCGAATGATAATTTACATGCAAGACACAGTTGAACCACATTGATCATGGGGTACATGGGAGTTCAATGCTTGTGCCATGTGAAAACAATTTTGTATATAGAGGACAGCACTGAATGAGAACAACTATACATATGAGTGAAGGTAAGTACCTATTGGAAGCATATTTTCAGTATATGAAAATAACTTATTGGTTAGTCAGATCTTTTAACCCCTTCTACATGCTCATGAGCTCAGATTCCACCACTACATGGATTATTGGCTTCTTCTAGCTCCATCCTTTGAAGAGTCATCCAATCACATGCACTTTCTCCTTCTGGAAGCTGCTCATGTTGGTTGGATTATCAGGTCGGAGAAGTCTATGTTCGCCCAAACTCAATATCTTGTTCATCTTGGGGTGTTCTTTAATTACCATCTCAGTTGGACCCAGCTTTCTCCCAATTGGTTGAGTGCTACGGAGCTGATTCAGAGAGCTGTATATTACTTTCTCTCCCTGCATGCGAGGTTATTTAGCTTTTGGGGACTTGAGGGTTGTTGGAGGCTTTTATTCCACTGGGCCATGCTCACATGTGTTTGCTTCAGTGGGTGCTACAGGATCAGTGGAACATCAACAGGGGTCCTCTGGATTTTCTGATTTCCCTTCCTCCATCCTTTAGCTTTGGCAATAGACGTTTTCAGCCAGGATTGGTTGGACTGATTAATTTATGCATATCCTTCCATCTATCTTCTATCCAAAGTGATTTCTATTGTCTAAACCATTTCATGTTGGGTCTTTCTTGTTGCTCCGTTCTGGCTGGCATAACCATGGTTTCTAGTTCTTTCCTCTTTACAAGTGTCCCCTCTCCAGATCATTCTTTTATCAACCTCGCTCAGTAGTGCTTCATCTTTCTGTTCCCTTACTCCAGCTTCACATGTGGCTTTTGTCCAGTCACTTGTGAAGGGTTTGAGTTTTCACATGAGTAGCATCCCTTATCTCTCATACAGTCCACCACTCATCCATGTCTATGTACCAAAGTAAGTGGCATGTTTTTTTTATGTTGGCTGTTAAGGTGAGGATATTCTCCCTCATCACCTTCCCTTCTTTATCTTACTGAATTCTTTAAATGGTTGTTTGACAAGGGTCTATCTCTCTTGACAGGGCAGCTCTGTCATCTACTTTCCATTTTTTCTGCTATTGCCATTTATTTTTTGTTTCTTTTATTTCCCTTTTGTTTCAATCTGTGTTTATAACTTCCTCCTTATTTCACTCAATTGCTGGATTGAAATCTCAGCATTGTCCTCTATGCCCTTTCCTCCATTTGAGCCTTTATCTTCCTGTTCCTTATATCACCTCTCCTTGAAGACATATTTCTCACATTTCTTTACTTGTGGATGTTGATGGTTGGATGTGTTTGCTATTGATGTACATTGCATCCTGTACCACTGAACCTATGTCTTCCTCTATCACAATCATTCCTTCCTTCCTAAAACGTCAGCCGCTTGAGAGGGTAGTTTCGCCTTCACTCTTATTTCCCTTCCCTTCATATGCCCCTCTTACTCTTTCTGAATCCTGTTCTGTGGCAAGTGGTGCCTGTGCAGGTATACTTTCATTCAAAATCTTTATTGCTCACTGTTGAGATGTAGTGTTCTACAAGACCACTTGCAGTATATTGCTTTATAAATATATTTGCACCAGACTGTACATTCTAGACTAACATGGGTAAAGCAGAAGGGGATTACTGCCTTTCCCTGCTGCTTCTTTGGTTGAATGAATCAGTAATGATCTGCTTTTACAAAATATATAGGGTTTTGTAGTCATTCATTGCATTTCTCCAGTGATTCATTCCTCTTTACTCTCCAATGCACCCTTCTTTCAGTGGAGTATGAGAGTGAGTCCTTGTCATTTACCCGCTCCTGGCCACTGGGGTGGTGGGGGGTGGGGGTGGGGGGTGGTGAAGGATGAAGCCATCCATCTGAGTGTGCTCAATTCCACTCAGTTGAGATTGGGGCAGTGGTGTTCTGCCAGTGTAAAAGGTGTGACTATCCTCTTGCTGCAGGTCTGTTCTTATATGCCAAATGTCAGTTGGTATGGACTGGATTTTTGTGTCACATTAAAGTTTGCCCCTCTGGCTGAGAACCCTCCCTCCTGGATGTCAGTTCCCAGGTGGCTGGTTAGAGCTGGACCAGCCAACAAAAGTTGGAGGTCTTGGTGTACTTATGTTTTCAAAAGATTTTATTAATGTACTACACAAAAATTGAATTTAGAAAATCATGCTAGTAGAAGTGGGGAAAATCTAGTAAATTGGATTGTAGAATGATTTAATGAGAGAAAACAAGTTGTTATTAATGGAGCACAGTCGAACTGGACTCTTGCTACCAGTGAAATACCTTAGGGGTCAGTGTTTTGGCCTTTGTATTTTCTCATTTACATTAATGATATTGGTAGGCATAGTTAGTAAATTATGACAGTTTACTGATGATATTAAACTCTTTGGTAACTTTATTTGTACTTAGGATATAGAGATATTACAGAATGACTTAGATAAGCTGATAAATTGGACAAATATTGGCAAATGACCTTTAATTATAATAAGTGCAAGGTTGATTTAAGCTGTCATAATTTAGACTATCATATTTAATATAGATCGGAACTTTGGAATCTTCTCTACTGGGCTCATTCCCGTCTTTTAAGCCTCTTTGTGTGCCATGTTTCCAGAGTGATGAAAATAATTGTGTCTTGACCCAACAGGATTCTCCCAACTAAATTGATGCTATATCATGAGGTTTTTCAGTGGATTTGATCTCAGTTCTGGTCTCCGATGATAAACCCCTTTGCAACTCTTTGGAATTCTCCATTGCAGTTGTTTTGGTCCCCAGTACCTCATCCTTGAGCTTTAGCAGTAGACTGGAATGGTTTACATCTGTATGCCTTTCCCCCAATTCGTCTGTTGCCCAGAGATTTAGCTATGGTTCATTCCACTCCTTGTCGGGTTATTTTGGTAGCATCATTTTGGCCAGCTCAAATGTAGTTTCCTCTTCTTCAATATCTGCAAGAGTGTCCACTTCTACTACTTCCTCTATGGCCATCTTTGTTGAGACAGCCTTGATCTGTCATTCTACACCCAAATGTTTAGAAACTCAAACTTCATGCCTTGGAGTTATGTGGGCCTTTGTCAGACATAGGGGTTTAATGTCTAAAGTTATGTTGTATTTAACGAAATCTCTCTGTAGATCAACTATGGCCATTTATCAACGAAAATGTCACACTTATTGTCAGTGGTGTATAAAATGGAAATTCAATTCACTTCATCCAAAGATGTCTACCATTTCAAGTTTTTGACTTGGATTTTTCAAGAGGTTTGGCTTCATCTACTGTAGCCTCATATAAAGCATCCTTATTGACTACCTTTCGATATTCCAAATATAGGAAGGTTTTTGGCTCTCCAGTGATATCTAACCTATTAAAATCCTTTCGCATCCTTTGGCCCAACTGGCCTTTTCAGTTGTCTAATTGGGATGTTAATGATCTTTTACATGCATTGTCTCATCATCCCTTTGAGCCTTTAGCCTCCTGTTCCTTGTATTACCTTTTGATTAAAGTATATATTTTGTTGTTGTTGTAATGTGGATGCCATCAATCTGAATTATTTGCACTACATGCACATAGGACTTTTTATCATTCCATATATGTCTTGCCTGATAGATCCTTCCTTCCAAAGACTCTGGCAGCCAAAGAGGGGGGGAAAAATCCTTCTCACCCATTCATTTGCCACCAATTTCTCAGACCCCAAACGTTTGTTATGTCCTGTCAGGGCCCTCAGGTGTTAAGTGGCTCATACTAACTCATTTTGGGGTACTAGAAATAGACTATATATTCCATGGGATTCTTCAGTTTCATGTGATTAACATGGTGGCTTCAAAAATTGACTCGTATTGCCTATTCTGGTCAGTCTTTACAGGAAATAAATCTGTTTTGAGTTGCATCTCACCAGATTCCTCACCTTTCTATGTCATTGGCTGCCTGTTTAAATTGCCCTTTAGAAGACATTGTGTGGCCTTCTTCCAATACTTTCATCTCTTATTACTTGCATGATCTGACAGTTTCCTCTTCTGAAGGTTTCCACTACCGCCTATGACTGTTTTTGACTACATCCACAAAATTTTAACAAGGAGTGAATAATTTTCTTCATCATATATTCTCTTTCTTTCCAGGGTCCCTTTACTTTTCATCTGGATCCCACTCTGTGGTGAGTGTTGCCCAGACAAATGTGCTTTTATCATTCTAATTCTGTACTAGCAACCCATTTTACTATCTTTAATACTGGTTGCGACAGGCTCTGTAGAAATGAGGTGTTCCATAAGACCATCTAGACACATTCCCATATTCTCATGGTCCACCACTTATAGACTATCATGATTAAAGCTAAAGGGGATCCTTCCCATCCCTGCCGATTATCAGATTGAATAAATTTAGGGAACTTGGTTCACCTATTGCGCTCTTTCTTACCTAGATCCCTGGATGTATTTCCCAGATGTCTGTAGGAGTAGCATTAGATTTTGTGGAAGCCTATTCGTAATACCAGTTCAGATTTGATCCTACGCTAACTGGTTGGGGTGTGCATGACCTTTCTTATGAACACTGTCCGAGTGTATATTTTCCATGGAAGGTGGTCCACTATAACCTCATAATTTTGAACACAAAATGGACCCATTCTAGGACCTTGGTTGAACATAGTGTTCCATGTCCTCTCCTTAATTCAGGGGCAATGGAATGCTTCTTGCCCACATAGTTGGAGAGTAAGGATGAATGTTCATAATTCCAGATCGGATGGGTTCAGTTCCTTTGGTTGAGTAAGGCATGCATGATCCCATAAATCTGAGCCTGGGATGATGCCTTTCAGTCTTCTTCAGGTAGAAGAGAAAGTTTGTCCACTTCAGTGTTACTTGTATATTTGTAAATCACATTGGGGTCCAATTGCCCTAGCCACCAACGTGGGATATAGGAACCAAGACCCCTTAACTCCCACACTGAGTCGTGGAACCTTGGCTATCTGGTTGGGGCTGTCCTATAATAATTATTCATGTACTATTTCACCCTTGATATTAAATTCTGGGTGAAGAGCATACCTGTTCTGGATGTAGTGTGGTTCCCCACTGGTTACTACTCTTATCTTGGTAGATCCAGGTTCTATGCAATGTGGGATTCTAGCTAAAGTGGCAGTGGATTTACCATGTTTTGGAAGTTAACATCTTCCTAAATTGAAAATGTATTTCCCATAATACTTACCTCTGCTGACATTTTACCGCCATTCCTCCCCATTAAGAGCTGGTGTTAGTGTTGAGAATGACTTAAGTCTAAAAAAAGTGATTACATTATCTGAATAAGGTGCTTATATACAATACCTGGATAGAGGGCATTGATATTTGTAGAGAGCTTTGCAAATTAGATATTGCCAATGGCATTCAAGTGGGGTATAAAAACTAAACCAAGCAAGTTCAATGCTTAGATGGGTCATGAGGTAGAAACTTGAAGATCGAGAAGTAGCTAAAGTGTCAGCGGAGGTAAGTATTATTGGAAATACATTTTCAATTTAGGAAAATTTAACTTAGACTAGATGTTATTAAGACAAAGCGACCAGCCACTTGTTCAATTAAACATGCTAGTTTCTTCACAAAAGAAAATACAAAGGATAATTCATGATATACTGATTAGAGACAACAGATAAATCACTAAATACATCTCTCATGGACTTTAGTGCCTTTTGATTGCTCAAACAGGTCTTTGGAAATTGCTGTCTAGTTGTGGGTGATAGACTCAGGAAAGCATGGAAAGAGCGGGATATTATATACATCAGTGTATTGTACAAAAGCCTCATGCTGAGGAATAGTTCACAACAGAGCCACCACAGAGCACTGATGGTGGTGGAAGAAGGGGCTCATCCTTGTATTGTTAACACAAATCTTAGACTCCCCTCTGCATATGCAAATTCATTTTAATCAGAAATTAGTAGTGCTTTTTCTGTTACAACTATTTATTCCTTGGACATATAATTTGATAACTTTGACATTTGATTTAATTGCAGTGAATTTTGGGGGGAAAAAATAAAGAAAACTTTGATAAAAACTATAGATTCTGAGCAGTGGATAAGTAACCTTAATGAAGCATATATAACCTTTTGGTATCCTGTGGTTTTAATGTTTTGAATTTTTACTTGTATATTTATAGTATAGATAACATTATCATTCACAGTGTAGGGATTTTTGTTTTCCAGATTCCCCCCACTGTAACAAGAATTCTTTTGAACCATGTAAAGTGGGATAAAGAAAAACTTTATGAAAGGTAAATTTTTTACTTTCATTCATATTGAAAATGGTATTGTAACAAAATATCACTGTAGGACTGAAAGAACCCAACTTTACCTATCTCAGGGTCTTATAATGGTGTATTGCAATCTTTGTCTTTAAGCGTAGAATTGCTAGTGTTTTCTAATTTTAATTACATTTCTAAATGTTTTTTCTCAGTTATCATATTCTTAAACTTTTCACTAAAGAATTTGTAATTCTTGTAATAGTGCATATGTAATTATAGTACAGTTTTACCAATCAGGCTGATTATTGCATAATCATGGGACAATCGGAAACGATACAATTTGTCAAATTTCTAAATCGTGGAAAAACAATTGCTGAGAAATTAAAAATAACACCACCCCGACCACTGTATTCACAACAAGAATCTTCTGATTCATAAGTAAGCTTTCAGTCATGACCCTTTGTTTTCTTTTGACACGAAACATTATTCACCATAGAATAAACTACCATCAGTTAAAACAATCTGTGTGTTTCTCATTTATTAATATAAGATGATACACTGAATGAAAGAAAGGTTAAGAAACAATGCTCCACACATCTCGAGGCACACCCATTTTTTTGAGGAGTGTACATTAGCAAACAGTGGATAACAGCACCCTATTCATAGAGCTAATACACACTGTATGCTTGCCAGAGATCTCTGCAGACTTTTCCCGCAAATTTCTTTGGATGATACACCATGTGGGTCCCTGTTAGTACAGCACTGTGTATTAGGTCATTGTTTGAGGAAGTCATCAAAGAGAGCATAACAACAGAGAGATTGGAAATTTGGAGTGTCCCATTAATTTCCAATAGGGGGGATTTGTCAATTGTTTGGCTTGCGCATGTCACTGTCAGAGATGTCATTATAAGTTGAAAGTGGTAAATATTTACAAAATAACTAACCAATTGGAAAGCTATGGAACATTCCATTTCATCATTTGACAGTCCCATTATTTATGAATCTGCATAGTTCCAAGAAGTTACCTTAAAGTTAGTTGTGGCATGACAAATGTGATTGCTGAATTGTTGGATTGCTCCTGGATGAGGAAAACTAGATAATTTGGGTTTTTCTAGTAGGAAGCAAGTGGTTGAAAAACAAGAATTACGAAGGTGAGGAATTGTTGTAACTGACTGCCCATTGCACCTGTAACTAAAATAGGGGAGTATATATTCCTTTATCAACAGTAAAAACTAGTAATACTGTATATAATTGGAATTGCCAATCGCAATTGGGCCAATTGTGCAATATAATAATCGGCAATCGGTGATTTCTGATTGTAACATGATCGGTAAAACAGTACTATAGTATATTTTTTGAACATTTGTTAATATAGTATACACAATCCATATCTGATGTAATACTTAAATAAAACTAAGGCCTAAAAAATAGGTTTCAGTTACTTCACCAACCCTATTTTTTAAGTGCAACCATGTTAAGTTTTTGACACAATAATGGTAACTATAAGGAATAATATAGCATATAAGTTATACTGTTTCAAATTTAGTTTTGGTGATTTAAATAATATAATGACATTGTAGTCATTTAACTTTTTTGGGGCAAAGGGGTGTCATTGTCGCTTACTAATTTATTCCTTCTTAAAGTGGACATTCTTTGAAACTTAGGAAAACCTAATATATAGTATCTAGTTTTGGATTTTAAAAACGTTGTATCGTGTGATTGAATTTTCCATAATGTTTTATGTCCTGAAAGTTCCCCCTTTTTTTTTGTGTGTGTGTGAGATAAGAAAGTCTCGTTATATATGTACTCCGTTTCAATCTGATTGATCTTCACAAACATATTTCTGACTAGAAATCTTAAATACTGCAAAAGCTGACAAAAATGGTACAGGTAACAGTAGTATTGTTTAAAATCAATATATATAAATAAATATAGTTTATTTGTAAACCATTATTTGACAAAATTGTATTCTATCCTTATAACTGGAAAACCCGGAGAGGGACATAAGATGGTTGGTACTCAGATCAGATTATTTTATGTCTAGCTATTTTCAAAGCTGAGCTTTGTTATTAGTTATTCATATCACATGCTGTGAAATCACAAAGGGTGTAAACAGTAATAAAAGCAGAGAAAGAGAAGGAAACTACATGAAAAACAAAACCTGAATAATTACATTTTTAAAGGATTACAGTTTCTTAGCAATTCTATAAGAGAGTAGTTTATAAGCAAGACACCTTGTAGCTATGCAGAAATATTAAAATTTTGTCTTTTTTTTTTACTGAATTGCATTAAATAAATGTTACAAAATATCAACAGTAACTTTTTTAAATTAAAAATTGTTGAAATAGTCAATTGTTATTTCTATTGTTTAGGCCATCATTTTGATTGCTTTTTTTTTAAATACATATAAAAGTATAAAAACATGTTCCTACCTACCTACCTGCCACCAAGTGGCTCAACAGTAAATTTGAAGACTTATAATGTTAAAAACTGGGTTGTCGATACCTGTGATTGGAACAGCATAGCCCATCATGTTGCTTTGTGCTCAATAACAAACAAACAAATTATATAATGGTTGGAGACAGCTTGAATGGGTAATGAAGAAAAACTTTAATATAAGCTTAACATAACAGCAAATGTACAATGTTTCAACAAGATTTTGTCATCATCAGGTACAAGTAATTTACACTGACATGGATATATATATATATATATATATATACATATACAGTATTGAACAAAGAGTCACATGACTGGATACTGTTGAC